GCTTTCGCCAGTCTAACTGGGGGGGGGGGGGGGGGGACGGACGACTTCTCTCCCGGCCAAATCGGTCAAATCGGCCTGGCCCGCATGACCGTTTGACCAAACAAGGCGAGGGACATTTCCCCTTCTTTGCAAAACCAGGTCAAGGTTCTGACAAACATCCAAAGAGCAGGAAGCGAACCTTGCACTTGGATGAAGCAACCGGCCCCTTCTTCGCCCCTTCGATTCTACGTTCTTCCTCCTCCACTGGCTGTTTTGCTTGTTGACATCTAGAGTGCGTCTACACAGCATTTCTACTTCTCTGTCTCTTTTTTTGCATTCCTCCAACTTCCACCTTCCGCAGCCACTTGGGCCACATGGCTCTCACAGCCACACGACCCTCGATAGCACCGGAAATGGGGCTCACCTTCCCATTGGCCCTGCATTCCCCTAACTTTTGCCTCAACAACCCCATGTCAACTCTAACTCCCCTCCCGCGGATACGGAGACCCCATATCTGCAGGGTTTCTCCGGTATCCGCGGATCACTTTTGTATGTCTTCCCTTCCCCATGGATATCTATCTAACTACCCATTCTCAGGGTTCCCTTGATATCCACGGACCTTGGTGTGTGTGTGTTTGTGTGTATTTATTATGTTTCATATCTCAATATAAAGTCCTTTTGGAGAAGTATGCCGTCGACTATGTACTTGTGGTGACCTTTTGCCTACATCTTTTATGTGTTTCCTCCTCCGCAGACACCCCGGTGTTTCTTTTATGTGTTTCCTCTTCCGCAGATACCCCAGTGTTTCTTTTATGTGTTTCCTCCACCGCAGACACCCCAGTGTTTCTTTTATGTGTTTCCAACTCCGCTGACACCCCAGTGTTTCTTTTATGTGTTTCCTCCTCTGCAGACACTCCAGTGTTTCTTTTGTGTTTCCTCCACCGCAGACACCCCAGTGTTTATTTTATGTGTTTCCTCCTCTGCAGACACTCCAGTGTTTCTTTTATGTGTTTCCTCCTCCACAGACACCGCAGTGTTTCTTTTATGTGTTTCCTCCTCTGCAGACACTCCAGTGTTTCTTTTATGTGTTTCCTCCTCCGCAGACACTCCAGTGTTTCTTTTGTGTTTCCTCCTCCGCAGACACCGCAGTGTTTCTTTTATGCGTTTCCTCCACTGCAGACACCGCAGTGTTTCTTTTATGTGTTTCCTCCTCCACGGACACCCCAGTGTTTCTTTTATGTGTTTCCTCCACTGCAGACACCCCAGTGTTTTTATGTGTTTCCTCCACCACAGACACCACAGTGTTTCTTTTATGTGTTTCCTCCACCACAGACACCCCGGTGTTTCTTTTATGTGTTTCCTCCACTGCAAACACCCCAGAGTTTTTTTATGTGTTTCCTCCTCCACAGACACCCCAGTGTTTCTTTTATGTGTTTCCTCCACCGCAGACACCCCAGTGTTTCTTTTATGTGTTTCCTCCTCTGCAGACACTCCAGTGTTTCTTTTGTGTTTCCTCCACCGCAGACACCCCATGTTTCTTTTATGTGTTTCCTCCTCCGCAGACACTCCAGTGTTTCTTTTATGCGTTTCCTCCACCGCAGACACCCCATGTTTCTTTTATGTGTTTCCTCCTCCGCAGACACTCCAGTGTTTCTTTTATGTGTTTCCTCCACCGCAGACACCCCAGTGTTTCTTTTATGTGTTTCCTCCTCTGCAGACACTCCAGTGTTTCTTTTGTGTTTCCTCCACCGCAGACACCCCATGTTTCTTTTATGTGTTTCCTCCTCCGCAGACACTCCAGTGTTTCTTTTATGCGTTTCCTCCTCTGCAGACACTCCAGTGTTTATTTTATGTGTTTCCTCCACTGCAGACACACCAGTGTTTCTTTTATGTGTTTCCTCCTCCGCAGACACTCCAGTGTTTATTTTGTGTTTCCTCCACCGCAGACACCCCAGTGTTTATTTTATGTGTTTCCTCCACTGCAGACATCCCAGTGTTTCTTTTATGTGTTTCCTCCACCACAGACACCCCAGTGTTTCTTTTATGTGTTTGCTACACCACAGACACCCCAGCTGTCTTCCTGGGTTGTGGTGCGTTTTCCAGGCTGTATGGCCATGTTCTAGAAGCATTCTCTCCTGACATTTCGCCCACATCTATGGCACACATCATCAGAGGTTGTGTCTTTCTGGTGTTCATCCAACTTGGTGAGATTTATTTGGGAATATTGGATTTTAGCTTCTTCATCTCGCCAGGCACACGAACCCATTGGGCTACTTGTACCGGTAACCACATATTGGGACTCGGTATCCACACTTCAGGTTTCGCTATCCGCAGCGTGGATTTCACTATCCCCGGCCGTTTTAACTGGCTGTATTTCCCCTAATTGCCTGACTCTCTTGCTAGATACATGGACCTATAGAGTGGCCTATTGTCTTTACCAGTAACTGCATAATGGAACTCAGTATCCACGCTTCAGGTTTCGCTATCCATGGCTCGGATCTCACTATCCGCGGCTCGGATCTCACTATCCGCGGCCGCTTTAAGAGGCTCTATTTCACCCTAATTGCCTGACTCTCTTGCCAGATGTATGGACCTAAAGGGTGGCCTAGTGTTGGTACCAGTAACCACATATTGGCACACGGTATCCACGTTTTAGGTTTTGCTATCCGTGGCGTGGATTTCTCTATATCCGCAGCACTGATTTCTCTATCCGTGGTGCGAATTTCGCTATCTGTGGCACGGATTTCGCTATCAGTGGCCATTTCAAGTGGCTCTATTTCTCCCTAATTGCCTGACTCTCTTGCTAGGTGCATGGACCTACAGGGTGACCTATTGTCGGTACCAGTACCCACATATTGGGACTTGGTATACATGCTTCAAGTTTCACTATCCGTGGCTTGGATCTCACTATCCGCGGTCATTTCAAATGGCTCTATTTCCCCCTAATTGCCTGACTCTCTTGCAGAAAGAGCCATGGACTTTGATTGTCTGCTGAATTGTTTAAACTTTGCCTCTGTCTGGCCCTATCTTTAGTCTATGCATTTGTCAATAAATGTAAATAGATTGGAAGATAACTCTATAACCTTTGGGGGACTCGAGGCAAAGCAGGGTGGGTTCCCTTCCGAGGTCTTTGCAGGCCCCTAATTGCTGTTGTTGTTGTTGCTGTGCTTATTTACACCTTGCAACGGCTCAATGGGATGGATTCCTAGAAGTTATATAGTGTGACACGGCCTTTCTAACTTGTTCTAACTGTTCCGTGTATCCACGCTGCCGTGTTTTCTGGGTCACGGAGCTTGCATATCTCCAAGGCCGTGCCCACTTGGCCTGTCTCTCTTCCCAAATGCCAGCGCCCAAAATAACCCGCCAGTGGCGCATCATGTGTCCCAGGGCTGACCGATGGCTCGCTCTCCACCCAGAACATGAAAGCCATGGGTCTATGGGAAGTGTTTGCTGAAGGGCTTTGCAAAACAGATTGGGTTGCCAAAAGCTGCCCAAGCCATCATGCCTTTGGGTCGCAGCGGCCCATGTGAACCAAGGCACATGTATTTCCCAACTCACGTAATATAGTGATGGATTAAAAATAGCCGCAGTGTTTATTCAGTATATTAAAAATAGCAACAACGCTGTTTATTCAATCAACTGGATCCGCCGATGAAGGCAGACTTCTAAGGATCGATGCTCATGGAATCAGAAACCATATGCAAATAAGAAACCATATGCAAATTAGTAGCTAAGGGGGTGGAGCCAGGCACCACCTGATATAATAATAATATTGTATATTATTCTATTATACTATATTATTATCAGCAGCACTAGAATTAATATGCTACTATTATTAAATTACAATATTATTATATATTATTTAGTCGTGTTATTATATATTAATATATTTTACTATGTTATTATCAGTGGCACTAGATTTAATATGATACTATTATTATATTACAATATTATTATATATTATTTAGTATTATTATTATATATTATTATATTGGACTATATTATTATCAGTAGCACTAGATTTTATATGCTGCTATTATTGTATTACAATATTATTATATATTATTATATTGGACTATATTTTATAGTGTTATTAAATATTAATATATTTTACTATATTATTATCAGCAGCACTAGAATTAATATGCTACTATTATTAAATTACAATATTATCATATATTATTTAGTAGTTTTGTTATATATTATTATATTGTACTATATTATTAATAGCAATAGATTTAATTTGCTACTATTATTATATTACAATATTATTATATATTATTATATTGGAATATATTTTATAGTGTTATTAAATATTATTATATTTTACAAAATTATTATCAGCAGCACTAGAATTAATATGCTATTATTGTTATATTACACTATTATCATATATTATTTGGTAGTGTTATTATATATTATTATATTGTACTATATTATTAATAGCAATAGATTTAATATGCTACTATTATTATATTACAATATTATTATATATTATTATATTGTACTATATTGTTATAGTTATTAAATATTAATATATTGTACTATATTATTATCAGTAACACTAGAATTAATATGCTACTATTATTATATTACAATATTATTATATTATAATTGTATTACATTATAATATTATTATCAATATTGTATTATTCTATTGCACTATATTATTATAATACCACAATACACATAATACACCACCAAGTATTATATATATTGTATTATATCCCAATCTGTTAGGAATGGTGGGAGCTGCAGTCCAAAAACAAAGCCAAAGTCCCATTCATTCTTTCATTCATTCATTCATAAAATAGAGCAAAAGAGAGAGAGAGAGAGCCATGAGTAGCCCCGCCCACCCCTTAGCAACGCCAGCCCCGCCCCCTAGCAACGCCGCCTGTCCCTTTCTGAAATCACTCCCTGGCCACGCCCCCGCGCGCCCAGCCAATCCGGAACGACGCCGGCGACACGCCCCCTTCGAGCCCCAGAGAGCGGCGTCGCGTGACTCGCTGGGCGGCCCGCGCATGCGCAGTGCGTCGCCGCCCTCCAGGAGCCGGGAGAAGAGCCGGAGGGAGGAGGAGATCCGCCAAGGAAGATGGCCGGGAGCGCCCCAGAGAAGAGCACGCTGCTCCACCTCTTCGCCGGAGGGTGAGCCCCGCTTCCCAAGGCCCCTTCCCTCCCTGCCTCCAAGCCAGCCCTTCCCCCCTCCTCCTGCCATTCATTCTCTGCTCCTGGGTGAACTACAACTCCCAGTAATGGAAACTCAGTCCAGTAAAACCCCCTCCAGTCATCAAATGTAGGCCTACCCGGTCTGTGTGCCAAGTCTGGTCCAGATCCATGCAAATTCCACAGCAATGGAGAGTCAGAAACACTGGGGTGTCTGTGGTGGAGGAAACACATGCATGTTTGGTCCAGATCCATCATGGTTTGGGTTCACAGGGCTCTCTGGATGTCTTTATTGATTTTATTTGTTTATTTACAACATATATATGCCACCCTTCTCACCCCGAAGGGTACCTATTTATGATATATATACATAGGTAAAAGTATATTATATTATGTTATATTATATTATTAATTATATTATTAATTATATTATATTATTATCATATTGTTATTATATTGTATTATTCTTTTATTCTTTTATATTATATTATTATACTGTTATTATATTATATTCTTTTCTTTTTTATTCTTTTATAATATTACATTATTATTATTATTATTATATTGTTATTATATTATATTAGTCTTATTATTTTATATTATATTATAATATTATCATTGTTATTATATTATATTATTATTTTATTGTTTTATATTATATTATTATACTGTTATTATATTATATTATATTCTTTTCTTTTTTATTCTTTTATAATATTATATTACATTATAATATTATATTAAATTATCATATTGTTATTATATTATATTTTTATTTTTTTATTCTTTTATAATATTATATTACTTATATTTATATTATATTATATATTATATTATCTATTTTTATATATAATTTATTATTTTATTATTTATATTTTACATTATTATTTTATATATATTTTATTAATTTATATATTTATATTTTATATTATTATTATTATTGTTATTATATTATATTATTATTTTATTTTTATTTATATTATTATATGTTATTATATTATATTCTTTTATTTCTTTTATTCTTTTATATTATATTATTTATTATTATATATATATTTATTATATTTATTATTTATTATTTATTATATTATTATATTATTTGTTATTATATTATATTATATATTATTATTATTATTATTATATATTATTTTTATTTTTATATATTATATTATATATTTTATTATATTATATTGATTATATTATTTTTTATATTTTTTATATATTATATATATTATTATATATATATTATTATTATATTCTATTATTATATTATATTATTCTTTTATTTTTATTATTTATTATATTTTATTATTATAAGATATTGTTATATTATATTATATATTTTTATTTTATATTATTATTATCATGTTATTATATGATATTATAATTATATTACTATATTGTTATTATATTATATTATTATATTTTTATTATTTTATATTATTACATTATTATTATATTATCATATTGTTATTCTATTATAATTATATTATTATATTATTATTATTTTATTATTTTATATTATTATATTATATTATTAGGGTGAACTACAACTCCCACAAATCAAGGTGAATTTCCCCCAAAGACCTCCAATATTTTTTACTCGTCACGAGGGCTCTGTGTACCAAGTTTGGTCCAATTCTGTCTTTGGTGGAGTTCAGAGTGCCCATTGATTGCAGGTGAACTATAAATCCCAGTACTTACAACTCCAAAATGCCCAGGCCTATTCCCCTCAAAATGCACCAATATTCAGATTGGGCATATTGGGCATGCGTGCCAAGTTTGGTCCCGATCGATCATTGTTTGGGTACATCGTGCGCTCTGGATGTGGGTGAACTACAACTCCCTCAAATCAAGGTAAATTAAGGTGAATTTCCCCCAAAGTCTTCCAATATTCTTTACTCGTCATGAGGGCTCTGTGTACCAAGTTTGGTCCAATTCTGTCTTTGGTGGAGTCAGAGTGCTCATTGATGACAGGTGAACTATAAATCCCAGTCCCTACAACTCCAAAGTGCCCAGGCCAATTCCCCTCAAAACGCACCAGTATTCAGATTTGGGTCTTATCGGGTATGCATGCCAAGTTTAGTCCTGATCCATCATTGTTTGGATCCATCGTGCGCTCTGGTTGTAGGTGAACTACAACTCCCCTAAATCCCTCCAAAGACCCCTAGCATTTTTTGTTGGTCATGGGATTCTGTGTGCCAAGTTATTTCCAGGTTCATCGTTGGTGGAGTTCTGAGTGCAGTTCTTAGATTTGCAGGTGAACTATACATCCCAGTAAACTACAACTCCTACAAAAATCAAGGTGAATTCTCCCCAAACCTCTCTAGTGTGTTCAGTTGCTCATCTATTCCTCTGTTTGCTGTGCGCCATAGAAAAGAATAGGAAGGGGTGAAGGGAGAGGCAGTGGGCAGAGTCATGCCAATTCCACACCAGTAGAGAGAGTCAGAAACACTGAGATGTCTGTGGTGGAGGAAACACAAAAAGAAACACTGGGATGTCTGCGGTGGAGGAAACACATAAAAGAAACAGGGATGTCTGTGGTGCAGGAAACATACAAGAAACACTGAGATGTGTGTGGTGGAGGAGACACATAAAAACACTGGGAAGTCTGTGGTGGAGGAAACACATAAAAGAAACACTGGGATGTCTGTGGTGGAGGAAACACATACAAGAAACACTGGAATGTCTGTGGTGGAGGACACACATAAGAACACTGGGTTGAGGAGACAAAAGAAACACTGGGATGTCTGTGGTGGAGGAGACAAAAGAAACACTGGGATGTCTGTGGTTGAGGAGACAAAAGAAACACTGGGATGTTTGTGGTGGAGGAGACAAAAGAAACACTGGGATGTTTGTGGTGGAGGAGACACAAAAAAGAAACTGGGATGTCTGTGGTGAAGGAAACACTGAGATGTCTGTGGTGGAGGAAACACAAAAAGAAACACTGGGATGTCTGTGGTGGAGGAAACACATAAAAGAAACAGATGTCTATGGTGGAGGAAACACGTAAAAGAAGCACTGGGATATCCGCAGTGGAGGAAACACAAAAAAGAAACTGGGATGTCTGTGGTGGAGGAGAAACAAAAGAAACACTGGGATGTCTGTGGTGGAGAAGACACATAAAAGAAACACTGGGATGTCTGTGGTGAAAGAAACAAGTAAAAGAAACACTGGGAAGTCTGTGGTGGAGGAACCACATAAAAGAAACACTGGAAAGTCTGTGGTGGAGAAAACACATAAAAGAAACACTGGGGTGCCTGTGATGGAGGAACCACATAAAATAAGCACTGGGATGTCTGTGGTTGAGGAGACAAAAGAAACACTGGGATGTCTGTGGTGGAGGAGACACCTAAAAGAAACAACCAGGGACAGCTAAATACCTCTCAACAAAGGATTCCCCCAGGCAGTAAGAAACAATGCCTTAAAAACTGCTGGGCCATTAAATGCTAATCTGGGTGGCCAATGGAAACATTCCCAACTCCCCCAAGGATGATGGGTGTCGTAATCCAACACACTTGGAGAAATTCCAGAAATTGATGCTCGTCTCCCTCCTCTCTGCCTGCCCTTGGCTCTCATCCCTCCTTTGAATGAAAAATTGTGATATTTTCGGCACGTCGCATTTTCAATTGTTGCTCTTTCGTGTCCCAAACTTCCAGTAATTGCTTCATAAATGGCTCGAGCAGAGCTGAGTAGAGGAAAGAGGTCTATTTTTGGGAGCAGCGTGTTGTGTATCCGTGGGAGAATATTGTTGTTTATATTCTTTTCATGAATACGATGTGCAGCTGGGATCTAAATTGGTTTACACAATTTAGTTTACAAAGTTTACAACTTTGCAGGGTAAACTACAACTCCCACTATGGTGAGACAGTTCCCTCAAACTCCTCCAGTAGGTTGAGTCAGTCACGGGGGTTCAGTGTGCCAACTTTGGTCCAGGTCCGTCATCAGTGGAGGTCATAGTGTCTCTGGTTGTGGGTGAACTACAACTCCCACTATGGTGAGACAGTTCCCTCAAACCCCTCCAGTAGGTTGAGTCAGACATGGGGGTTCTCTGTGCCAAGTTTGGTCCAGGTCCATCACTGGTGGAGGTCATTTTGTCAGCGCTGATTGTTTTTGAGTCCAAGCCAAGGTCTTTAAGCACTGCACCCAGTGTGCTGATCACCACTGGGACCACCTTGACTGGCTTGTACCAGAGTCTGTTATTATTATTATTATTATTATTATTATTATTATTATTATTATTATTATTGCTCTATAGGAACTCACTTCCTCTTAGAGTAAAGACCTCTCCTCGGGCTAAAGCAACTACCCCAAGGGGATGATAGGTATCGTAGTATAACGTATTTCCCATGCTTAAGGTTCCACCTTCTTTGAAATATGATGCTTAGTGTTCCATCGAGTGCTGTCGTGAGGGCTCTTGTTTCAACCCTGGTTCCCGGAATGACGTGTGTCTGTTTTGTGTGGTTGGATGTCTTACGCATACTGGAATCCCCACGCAAGGACTTCCGTTGCTTCGGGCTCCTCATTTTCCTTTACCTCGCGCACTCTTTTATGTTTTGATGCTCACATCAAAGTGCTTGACTGCAGGGCATGCTGACGGTCATTACATCAAGGCTTGCGCCTCGCAAGACCCTGAATTTCGCTCTTCCTTTAATTCCTCTGCTTGCACCAAATGCTATTGTTGGCACGCCGCCGGAGTTCCCTTTTCGAGGGACTGCATCGCAGCGGCACAACGGAGCATTAATGCTTTGCGCAGGCTGTTGTTCCCTGAGCAGGGGTCTTTTTGCTGCACGCTGCTTTCTGCAAACGAAGATCTATGCGCGGGTGAATGCTGACGGAGCAGCTATCAAAGTGCTGCAATGCACAACGTTTGGGAAAATCGGTGCTTTTTCCAAATATGAAGCACTTGGAGCAAATATGAAACACTGAGATGTCTGTGGTGGAGGAAACACATAAAAGAAACCCTGGGGTGTCTGTGGTGGAGGAAACACATAAAAAAACACTGAGATGACCAAACATCCTTGCAGATATAGCAAGCCATAGTTGTTTTAGAAGAGATAGCCCAAGTTCTGCAAGGTCTCGAAGGGATTTGCTGGTGCGGGCCTCCCTCCAGCCTCACGCGCTCTCTCTCGCCCGCACATACGCATTCTGAACACCAACTATAGAATTGGGTCAAACTTCCCACAGAGAACCCCCATGCCTCGAGGGGACTTGGTGGTGTGAGCCTCCTTCCAGCCTCACATGCTCTCCCTCGCGCACACATGCGCATTCTGAACTCCACCAACAATAGAATTGAGTCAGACTTCTCACATAGAACCCACAAGTCTCGAAGGGACTTTCTGGTGCGAGCCTCCCTCCAGCCTTGCACGCTCTCCCTCACCCACACATGCTCATTCTGAACTCCACCAACTATAGAATTGGGTCAAACTTCCCACAGAGAATCCCCATGCCTCAAAGGAACTTGCTGGTGCGAGCCTCCCTTCAGCCACGCACGCTCTCCCTGACCCGCGCATGCGCATTCTGAACTCCACCAAGGATAGAATTGGGTCAGACTTCACACACAGAACACCCAAGTCTCAAAGGGACTTGCTGGTATGAGCCTCTCTCCAGCCTCGCATGCTCTCCCTCACCCACACATGCGCATTCTGAACTCCACCAACAATAGAATTCCGAACTCCACCAACTATAGAATTGGGTCAGACTTCCCACACAGAACCCCCATGTCTCAAAGGAACTTGCTAGCGTGAGCCTCCCTCCAGCCTCGCACGCTCTCCCTCGCCCTGCACATGCGCATTCTGAATTCCACCAACGATAGAAGTGGGTCAAACTTTCCATAGAGAATCCTCATGCCTCGAAGGGACTCACTGGAATGAGCCTCCCTCCAGCCTTGCATGCTCTCCCTCACCCACACATGCGCATTCTGAACACCAATGATAGAGTTGGGTCAAACTTTCCACAGAGAATCCCCATGCCTTGAAAGGACTTACTAGTGCGAGCCTCCCTCCAGCCTTGCACGCTCTCCCTCACCCTCACATGCGCATTCTGAACTCCACCAAGGATAGAATTGGGTCAAACTTTCCATAGAGAATCCTCATGCCTCGAAGGGACTTGCTGGTGCGAGCTCCCTCCAGCCTCACATGCTCTCCCTCACCCACCCATGCGCATTCTGAACTCCACCAAGGATAAAATTGCATCAGATTTCCCACACAGAACCCCCATGCCTTAAAGGGACTCACTGGAATGAGCCTCCCTCCAGACTCACACGCTCTCCCTCACCCGCACATGCGCATTCTGAACTCCACCAGGGATAGAATTGGGTCAAACCTTCCACAAAGAATCCCCAATGCCTTGAAGGAACTTGGTGGTGCGAGCCTCCTCCCAGCCACGCATGCTCTCCCTCACCCGCACATGCGCATTGTGAACTCCACCAATGATAAAATTGGATCAGACTTCCCACACAAAACCGCCATGTCTCGAAGGGACTTGGTGGTGCGAGCCTCCCTCCAGCCTTGCATGTTCTCCCTCACCCGCACATTCTGAACTCCACTAACGATACAATTGGGTCAAACTTCCCACATAGAAACCCCATGTCTCAAAGGGACTTGGTGGTGCGAGCCTCTCTCCAGCCTTGCACGCTCTCCCTCGCCTGCACATGCACATTATGAATTCCACCAAGGAGAGAATTGGGTCAAACTTCCCACACAGAAACCCCATGTCTCAAACGGACTTGCTGGAATGAGCCTCCCTCCAGCCTTGCACGCTCTCCCTCGCCCACCCATGCGCATTTTGAACTCCACCAAGGATAAAATTGCGTCAGATTTCCCACACAGAACCCCCATGCCTTGAAGGGACTCACTGGAATGAGCCTCCCTCCAGACTCGCACGCTCCCCCTCACCCGCACATGCGCATTCTGAACTCCACCAGCGATAGAATTAGGTCAAACTTCCCACAGAGAATCCCCATGCCTTTAAGGGACTTGGTGGTGCGAGCCTCCCTCCAGCCACGCACGCTCTCCCTCACCCACACATGTGCATTCTGAACTCCGCCAACGATAGAGTTGGGTCAAACTTTCCACTCAGAACCCCATGTCTCAAAGGAACTTGCTGGTGTGAGCCTCCCTCCAGCCTCGCACGCTCTCCCTCACCGGCACATGCGCATTCTGAACCCCACCAACGATAGGATTGGGCCAAACTTCCCACACAGAACCCCCACGCCTTGAAGGGTCTCACTGGGATGGGCCTCCCTCCAGCCTTGCATGCTCTCCCTTACCCACACATGCGCATTCTGAACTCCACCAAGGATAGAATTGGGCCAAACTTCCCACATACAACTATCATGCCTTGAAGGGACTTGCTGGTGTGAGCCTCCCTCCAGCCTCACATGCTCTCCCTTGCCCGCACATGCCCCTCTGAAACCCCCTCAAGACCCCGCCCCCAATGCCCACCCTTTCTTCCTCGGCTTTTGTTTCTGGCGTCTCAATTTCCGCATGACCCCAAACAGTGACTTTGTCCGAAGGAGCTATAAAAAGCCCGCGGCCGAAGAAGAAGAAGAAGGGCTTAGTCACGGAAGCGTCTTTGTGCCTATTTCCTAATTGAGATAATCTCGTAGCCGGGTTGCCCGATTGGAGCCGGTCCTCAGAGCGGGAGCTTATGTAACCGGCTGTTCGGAGAGTTCATTCGCGGGTTGAATGGGTTGTGAGTGTTTGGGAGTGCTGGGGTGTCTGTGGTGGAGGAAACACATGGAAGTTTTAGTCCAGCTCCATCATTGTTTAGGTTCACAGTGCGCTCTGGATGTAGGTGAATGTCATATTTCATACTCAGATGTGTGGGAGTGCTGGGGTGTCTGTGGTGGAGGAAACACATGGAAGTGTGGTCCAGATCCATCATTGTTTAGGTTCACAGTGCGCTCTGGATGTAAGTGAATGTCATATTTCATACTTAGATGTGTGGGAGTGCTGGGGTGTCTGTGGTGGAGGAAACACATCAAAGTTTGGTCCAGATCCATCATTGTTGAGGTTCACAGTGTGCTCTGGATGTAGGTGGATTTCATATTTCATACCTAACTGTGTGGGAGTGCTGGGGTGTCTGTGGTGGAGGAAACACATCAAAGTTTGGTCCATTGTTGAGGTTCACAGTGCGCTCTGGATGTAGGTGAATTTCATATTTCGTACTTAGATGTGTGGAAGTGCTGGGGTGTCTGTGGTGGAGGAAACACATGGAAGTTTGGTCCAGATCCATCATTGTTTAGGCTCACAGTGCTCTCTGGATGTCGGTGAATGTCATATTTCATACTTAGATGCGTGGGAGTGCTGGGGTGTCTGTGGTGGAGGAAACACATGGAAGTTTGGTCCAGATCCATCATTGTTTAGGTTCACAGTGCGCTCTGGATGTCGGTGAATTTCATATTTCATACTTAGATGTGTGGGAGTGCTGGGGTGTCTGTGGTGGAGGAAACACATGGAAGTTTGGTACAGATCCATCATTGTTTAGGTTCACAGTGCGCTCTGGATGTCGGTGAATGTCATATTTCATACTTAGATGTGTGGGAGTGCTGGGGTGTCTGTGGTGGGGGAAACACATGAAAGTTTGGTACAGATCCATCATTGTTGAGGTTCACAGTGCGCTCTGGATGTCGGTGAATGTCATATTTCATACTTAGATGTGTGGGAGTGCAGGGGTGTCTGTGGTGGAGGAAACGCATGGAAGTGTGGTCCAGATCCATCATGGTTTACTCTGAAATTCCGTTTCTGCTATCCGATGCTTATTGTTTTGCACGTCGGCCTTTCCAGGTGCGGAGGGACGGTTGGCGCCATCTTCACCTGCCCGTTGGAGGTCATCAAAACGCGTCTCCAGTCGTCAAAGTTGGCACTCAGGGCCGTCTATTATCCTCAGGTGCAGCTGGGGACCATCAGCGGAGAAGGAGTGGTCCGGCCCACCTCTGTGTCCCCGGGACTCGTCCGGGTTCTTAAGTGAGTATGGCTTCCTTCCAAGAGGGCCTTCATAGCGTTAGTCTCAACCCGACTGAATCCATGACATTGGCCTTTGGGGTTGTGAGCTGCCTTGAAGCCATTGTTTGGATTCAATGGGATGTCTGTGGTGGAGGAAACACATGAATGTTGGCTCCAGATCCATCATTGCTTGAGTTCACAGTGCACTCTGGATGTAGGTGAACTACAACTCCTCTAAATCCCTCCAAAGAACTCCAGTATGTTTTGTTGGTCATGAGGGTTAAGGAGGAGGCAGTTGACGGGGTCATGTAAATCCCACACCAATGGAGAGAGTCAGAAACACTGAGATGTCTGTGGTGGAGGAAACACATAAAAGAAACAATGGGATGTCTGTGGTGGAGGAGACACATAAAAGAAACACTGGGATGTCTGGTGGAGGAAACACATAAAAGAAATAGTGGAGTGTCTGTGGTGGAGGAAACACATAAAAGAAACACTGGGATGTCTGTGGTGGGATGAAACACTCTCACCTGGAATGACATTGGAGGGAGGTCTGTTGGTGTCTCCTTTGTAGTGGGAGCTATAGCTGTTTCTGGAAGTGGAAGTGGACACCCCAGTGACATCCACATATACATATTTTCACTTTTATTATGTGTATAGATAAGGAAAATATAGTGGTACTATTGGCTCCCTTGATCTAGAAATTATAGTAGAGTACGTATTACAGACACTACATCATCATCATCATCATCATCATCATCATCATTATAGAAATTATAGTACCTAAGACTGTGTTGTTGTTGTTATTATTGAAATTATAGAAATTATAGTAGAGTACCTATTACAGACAGTACATTATTATTATTATTATTATTATTATTATTATTATTATTATTATTATTATTAGTAAGAGTAGTATTAGCATTGCTCCGGAAGGGCGCAACTATGCCTTCTTATGTTCGACCTTAATGCAGCATTGAGGAAAACCCTCTGCCAGGCAAAACCGCTTGGTTGACGCCAACGGGGCCAAGTGCCTTGGCAGCCAGCCTGCCTGAATTTGTACGAAATTATGTAAGAGGGAAGCCGGCAGCCTTGCATTGCCATCGGGCTGGATTTGGGTTTAAAAGGTGACTGGGATCACTGGAAACTTAGTGGGAGGAACCTAGTTGCCTGCTGTGACCTTGTTTTCCTGGTCAACTTCCAAGCCTGCTCTTGACCCTTCTCTCCCGCCTTCTGTCCTTCCAGGTCCATTTTGGAAAAAGAGGGTCCAAGGTCGCTTTTCCGGGGCCTGGGGCCGAACCTGGTCGGTGTCGCTCCCTCGAGGTACAATCCCCAAACGAGGACTTCCTTGAATTTCACGTTTTTAATCACCGTAATGTCGCGAGGAGACCAAAGTTAGGGTTGAAAATCACAACCTTCTACAAGCCTCCTACACTTCAGATCGCTTACCATATTGTATATGTGTGTATTGGTATGCAGTTTTCCTTAACTCTATGTTGTGGGAGGGGCTGCAGACCATATGATCAGATCTGGGACTGTTCAGGACTCAGACTCCATTTTTGAAACAGTCTGCTTTCAGACGCCAGTAGAAGCAGGAGCCATTAGACTTTCAATGTAGTAACAGAAGTCAGTAGAAACAGAAGGCTTTAGAGAACAGAGACTGG